GGTGATTCTAAATTGTCCGTAGGTGTGAATGTGAGTGTGCTTGGTTGTCTGTCTCTAAGTGTAGCCCTGTGATAGACTGGCGACCTGTCCAAGTGAACCTGCCTTCACCCTGAGTCAGCTGGTATAGACTCCAGCCCCCCATGACCCTAGTGAGGATTAAGTGGTGTGAAGATAATAGATGGATGATGAACGTTAGGATTAAAGGCTTCATCATTTGTCTGATATATTACTTAACCTCCATTCACCGTATCAAAGAGAATCAAGTGTTTGCTTCTCTAAATAGGTCAACATTTTCACTTATTACTTCCACGTAACCTCCTTTTTCACATGACTGTATATGTAGCCATACAGTATCACATCTAAATACCAAATTGTAGCACACAAGGATGACATGCTACAGGGAGCTGCCGGATGAACCTACTGGCAAAGTAACAGACATTTCTGGTTGTAATGTCATCAATATTATTGTCCACTGCCTGTCAGCTGGTAGCCAGTAAGCTGGTGAAGCATTAAGATCCCTGAACATCTATGCTCCATTTAAATGCCAGTCCATCCAGTAATAACTGAATCGTTCTTCAGGGAGCTTCAGCATTATGTATGTTTTTAAAATATATATCGTTACTTGTAGGTGGAGGCTATAAATGCTTTTTGGGAGGAAAAACACCCGATAATGAGTTTAAATCAATCTTTATTGTGGAACAAGAAGATATCCTGGCTTCATTTTTCTGTGTGATTTTTCTTCTTGTGGCTCCTGGCATTTCATGAAATATCACAATTATTCTCAAAATCTTTATTTTTCCAGAGAACATTCAATATGCATCCTTGTATGTCTGGCACACGAAAGGCTGTGCTTATTCGGCCAACCTAAAGAGGAGTTGCTCCATGGCCAAACAAAAGTCTTTCAGTGTCACTGTAGACCTGTTCTTGGTCCTGCCTAATAGAACCTTAAGGTTATCACCAAACTGTTCAGGAGCAAGCATCTTCCACTTTTGTCCTTCAGGGTTGAACATCCTGAAGACATGGCTTGTTCTGGGTGATACTGAAGTATCTCTGGCATATGTATATATATGTATATATGCTGTGAATGGTCCACCTTAAGCCTTCAGTCTATCCAAAATACTGATTTTTTTTTTACTTTGTTGCTATGGCGCCGTGACAGTGGCAGCCAGTTGCAGCATCTCCTTTCTACTTTCTGTGTTTGTAGCTATTTCCTTTGGTTTTTCTGCCATCTTTGTAATTTCACACAGCTGTACCACATTTGTGCGGGAACAGTGGAGATGCAGATGGTGTTGTTGTTGGTCTGTTCTTTGCTTTTTTTGGAGTCTGC